AAAGTGAGGTAGTACATTCAAAGAGTAAAACAACCTGGTTCAACAACTCTACATTTAATAAGAGTGGTCAACATAGGCCTTGACTCTATGTCATCCAATGTCAGTCTAGAATTAGGTATATTACACCTAGCTGCATGAAGACGTATCATGTACCAGGTACATATTTGTGGCTTGCATTTAATTAAGAAACAGATATGCAAATGTATAATGATAAAAGCAGCAAGTTTATATAAATTTTACTAAATGCTTGACAGTTTTCTATGCATATTTAAATCTCTTAGAAAGCCTAGAAATAGGTGTGATGGTTTATTGTATGTTTCAATGTGACTGGGCTAAGTGATGCTTAGATAGCTGGTAAAATAGTACTTCAAAGTGTGTCCACGGGCATTTCTGGAAGAGCTTAGCATTTAAAGTGATACACTGAGCAAATCAAACCACCCTTGCCAATGTGAGTGTGCATCAACCTATCAGCTGAGTGCCTGAATAGAATAAAAAGAAAGCGCAAAGGGCAAATTTACTTTCTGCATGAGCTGGAATACCTTTTCTTGCCTTACAACATTGGCGCTTTTGGTTCTCAAGACTTCTGGTTTGGACTGGAAATACACCAGCAGTTTTCCTAGGCCTTCAGCTTGCAGATGCAGATTTTGGTACTTCTAAGCCTCCCTAAATGCATGAGATCTTACCCTATATGTCTTTCTCTCTCTCTCTCTCTCTCTCTCTCTCTCTCTCTATATATATATATATATATATATATATATATATATATGTGTGTGTGTGTGTGTGTGTGTGTATTTATATATCTATATGTGTATATATGTATATATCTATGTCTATACGTACACACATATAGATATATACACATATATTGTATGTACTCATCTCTTTAATAAGTCATCTTACACTTTTCCACTTTCTACATTTAGTTCAATAATTTCTAATTTATAGACTCCATATTCATTAAGTTTTGAAAGTCAGGAAAATATTTGCTTGTCTCTAGTATTTCTGTACTACTTTGTTCTCATCAAATCCTCAGTTTACCAACAGCAATTGAATGTTTTCTTTTTAAATTCTGGCATGTACTTTATATTTTCGATCTTAATACTTAAAACTAGAATCCATCATCTATTATATTTTCACTTATTTTGGAAGTTAGTGTTCTTATTTCATCATTTGTAGTACAACAACGATCTGTTTCGTAAAAATAAAATACATGTATAATAGAAATTGTGGAGTTTTACCTTTTGCTTTGTCAATTATTCATACTACCACTTCAGAGCCAAAAAAGCTTACTGGTTCTTTGATATTATAAATGCGTTGAAGAAAAATCTAAGAAGTGAACACATGGATCTAATTATTATTATGAGTAAAGAATATGCTCCTTTTTTAGAATTAATTGCACATATGGTTATCTTTGAAACCTTTTTGATAGATGTCTTTCATTTCTGCGTTAAAGTTATGCTAGTACTTTGCAGTTCTTAAACTGAAGTGAGATAACAGAATTAGTAAAGGTTAACTTCATTAGGTCATCTTCTATAGTATAGAGATCACTTTCTTTTATCATTTTTTTTTCTTTTTTGTTCTTTTAACATAAATATAGAAATTATAATTTTTGCTAACCAAACACATAAAATAAATAGTTGCAGAGAAATTTCTTATTGCTTTATATTATTTTACTAGCTCTTTTCTTTACATAAATTTCAGATCACATATTTTGATATTATTCTTGTAAACAAAAATGGTAACTACATAGAGGTGATAGATTAATTATTTATAAGGTGGTGATCATTTTACATTGCATATGTATATCAAAATATCAAGGGCATACCTTAAATAAATGATAGTTTTTATGCCAATGATATCTCAATACAGTTGTTAATGAGCCAATTCACCATGTTTATGCAGTTGACTGTTGTAAAACCTGAATTATAAAAAGAGGCAGCTCTAAATTTCCTTTACATTGCTTCCATATTCAGGTTTGAAAACATCACATAGCTTGCTAAATTTCCAGGGTAAAATTGAGCATTAGATGACATCTAAAGAGACAATTTTTTGAGTCTGTCTCTCAGAAAACGATCACAATTTAGCATGACAATTTTATCTTTCCAGGTTCTATAGTCTGACCAGCATCAATCGTGTGTTGGATATTTCTCTGTCACCAGCTAAAATGATTCTAATAACTCTCCCAAGGGGTAACACAAGTGGGAATTCAGTATCAGAAATGTCCATGCTTTCACTTTCAGAGATTAGTTCTGTAATAAATTCTGCTGACTGATACACTGTCCAAGTTTTTGAAGTAATCTTTGACATAAAGAGAAAACAAGCGCCTGCCTACCACCTGGCTTTCCCTAACCAGCAAGTTCCACATTGGTTCACTTAATTCCTTCTTCTTCTTCTTTTTTTATTTTTTATTTATTTATTTATTTTTTTAGCTGAAAATACAACAGATGCACTAAGTGGCTGTGGCTGACAGGTCCACTTTTCAATGGCTCGGGATAATTGGAAGTTTCCGAATGCCAAACTCCAGAAGCCATTTAAATCCAGTGTGTATTGCACCATTGGGATTATGGAGAATCTAGATCCCTTACTCTGAGTGTGGTTTCATAGATACAAATCCTTCCTTGATGAATGGATTCTTTTTCCAGAAATGGATTGTACTGTTTGGCAGTGTTGACAATTCCCTCTGCATGCCGTTGCACTCAGGAGCAAGTGCCTGTTGACTTCCATTACGACTGCCCACTGGATGCACTTATTATGGTCTTACCCAGGGAAAACCACAAGGAAGGCTACAAAAACAGGTTTTGTTTTCAAATGTGTCCCTAGGATGCTCATTGTTTGTGTCTCAGCCACTGCTTCAGTGGCAAGCTGGCAAACAAACATTTTATTTCATTCAACTAGAGGCAGTCAAATCAACAGTTTGGCTGTTCTAGAGAATGTTATAACATGAATTTTAAAAATTAAACTATGTGACCTCTTCTTAACAGACTTAAAGTTTCTTTTTCTATCCCTTTTTATTTTTTATAGCTATTTCTTTCTTTGGGAACTCAGGGCTTCGTCCACATAGAAATTTTGGAAATGTATTCTCTTTCATACCTCTTTCAAGAAACAAAAATAAATTAAGAATTTGTGTCAGGATACTACACAAGGAGAATCCCTAATTTTAAAGCAGTAGCTGCATAAGAAGGAATATATAGTACACAATATAATACTCTCACATTATCTGGATGCTGTTATTTTTATTCCTTTTATTTTCCCTAAAAGTTTACATTTTGGAAATTTCCAAATTCTGACTTCTGACGTCTTCCTTAAGAGCAACAAAACACTGAAATGTGTACTTCCTTCCCAATTAGAAATCATTCAATTCCTTTTCTACCTCATTGCTTCTGTTTGTTTAGTCTTTGAAAACTAAATCAAATTAAATCCCTTCACATTTCACATCACTCAAGCAAAATAGCCAAATATAACTTTAGCTGATTCAAACATTCACTCTCAGCCCCTTTAAACTTCCTAGAAATACAGCTTACCTTATCTTCTCAACCTCTTTGACCCTTTCCAGGGAAGAAGAAACGAGGGGGGGGGGTAATTAGAAGTTATATTACCCTTAACAAAAGTTTTTTTTTTTTTTTTTTTTTTTTTTTTTTTTTTTTTTTTTTTTTTTTTCCCTAAGTTCAAACAAGCTTACAGATTTTTAAATCCACGGAGACCTGCTAAAGTGAGGATTGCCTTCCAGGTTTTAGAGTAGCCAGCTGAGACTCAGAGAAAGGTAAAGGCTTACACAGGTTCAGGTGTAATGGTACGTCCCAGCTGTGATTTGAATCCACGTATTCTGGCCTGCAGAGCTTTTACACCCTATCACTCTACCTCTCTTAGGCTTAAGTCTTTGTTCCTTTCAAACTCTGAATCTGGACATTTGTATTATCAACTAAGCAGAAAAAGTGATCTCTTTATCTTAGGGTTTGCAATAATTTAGCGTCTTGTACAATTCTTAATATATCCGCCAAGGGACCCTTAGAATAGCCATTCAATTTAGATAAACTCCTACACCTGTTTACTTCGTACGGGTGCTTGATGTTCTTAATGGGTGAGTGTGGGTGACTTCGTGCAGGGAGAAAGTACTAAAGTTGTTTCAGCTGTCCACATCAATTTTGAATGCAGCCCATCAGACCTGAAATCCCTGTTATCCAAAGCTATGTACATTGCAAATCGATTTTATTTATTCTGGAGTCGTAAGAGGTGAGAAGTTTGTGTGTGTGTTAGGTTTCCTGGCATAAGCAAAGGGGGTTGGAAAGGCATCGCAGCTCCTATTCATCTCCACATTTATAAATGCTGACCTCCAAGAGGAAGCTCTGTCTGATGTAAACCCTACACACCTTGAGTACTTTGGGCTCAGGCGTTAAAGGACATCACTCAAGCTAAATCTCATGGCTACCACCGGACTATGGATCACTGATGAATGAGCCAGCAGTTGAATGTGTAGCAGGCTGTGACGACTTTGCACGGAAATATGAAAATTTATTACCAGCTTGCCACATCAGCGCCTGCCCTGCCTGATTTCCTGGTTCCCTCCCGGTGGATACTCCCACTCAGATGCTGACAGTCAAACCCCTCTCGCCCCCCAGGCTCCCCTCCCCCCGCAGAGAAGTGATGGTCTAAACTGTCACGGAGTCCTGGCCGTCATTTTTCAAGTGATGTGATACTCAAGATGATGCCTTTGGAGCAGGGATTTTATTTAGGAGGAGTCGTCTGCGCTGAATCGTTTTCCACATGACCTTGCTGAGGGGGCTAAAGGGGGCGTCCGTCTTGCGTGCTGTGGAATTCGTGTAGCCCCGAAAGTATGCGCGATGGGAGGCTGGGGGGAGAAGGAGGCAGAAGGGGAAGGAGCCGCGGAGAGGAGAGCCGGGGAGGAGAGGAAGGAGGAGAGACCCCGAGAGCGCAGCATCAGGCCGGCAGGCGCCGCCAGCCAATCAGAGGCGCGCTCGGGAGCCGCAGAGCCCAGCCGCGGAGCCCGGGGCTGCAGGTGCGCGGGGCTGAGTCTGGGCTGGCCGAGGACCGCGAGCAGCTGCGCCCGGGGCTCTGGGAAAGTCCCCTCTTTGCTTCTTAATTTTAAGTTCCTCTTCACCAGTTAGGGCAAGTCAGCCAAGGTAAGGCTTCCATAAATGACACTTTACTCTGGACGGATATGCATAGGTTTGCGTACAGCGGGGGGCTGCTCTACCCAGTCCTGAGTCAAAACAAGACTGGGTGAAATCTTCCTCTCCGATGGGCTGCGCAGGATGGAGGGCTGAGGGGAAAGTTGTCGCTAATGCCGGCTGCCTGCTCGCTGGGGTACGTTTGGATTTTCTTATGCAGGAATGCTGCCGGAGAGCCTATCGAACGCGAGTCTCCGAACCAGCTGCGTGTCTGTTTATGTTTATCTGGCTGTGCTGTTGTCTTCCCTGAAGAAGTTGGAAGGATACTCTGCAAGGCACCTTGGAATAGGGATGGCATCAGTATAAGCTGTCATTTATGTCTGTCTGTAAAAGTGAGGGACGCATGGTCAGAATAGAAACAGGGGCACTGAAATTGAATTTTCCTTAGTGCTTTTTAAAATTATTGCCTTTCTAGTATCCTCTAAAATTACGTGATTTCTGAGCACCCAAACTGCAGCAGGACAAGCTTCATTTTTCTTCTTTCATTTATTTTTTTCTTCCCACGAATCCCTTCCTTAAATGCTTATTAAAGCTTAAGATGAAACTTTTTCTTCTTTTAAAGGGCACTTATAAATGATGCATAAAAAAAAAAATTAGGTAGGCTCCTGTGATCAGGACCACACTTTATTTATGTTTGTTAACTCTCATTCATTTCCCGTTCTTAACTTCTTGTTTGAGTGTGGAAATAACTATTATTTTGTCTTAATTTTTATGTCTTCAAAACAAGGTAAAATGATGCCTTATGCATATGTGTGTGTTGTGTGTACAGAGCTGGCTCCAGGAAAACCTCTCATATGTAACAGGTGAAAAAAATAGAATTTTATTAGCTAGGGTTATTAAAATATTTTTATTTCAATGTCTCATTGCATTTCATGATGTCATCAAGAATAAATGTGCTTTGCTTTTTCCCTGTTGGAAGTCAAGAAAAAATAAAATAAAAATCTTAGCTAAAAGTATTATGGTTTTCGGTTAGCTCAGGTGATGGCATCATTGCTTTAAGCCGAGAGACAGATCAGAGAAAGATTCTGTTATTCAGCCAAAAACACTAACTACAGGCTCTGACTGTGTTTTCAAACCTCTATTTTTCACTCTGGGATCACCCACAGATTTTTCAAAGCAGTGTGCTTTGCTTCTGCAAGAATTGTTCTTTAATTTTAGTGTATTTGTCTTATCAGAGGAAATGTTTAATTCTGAATCAAGAGTTTGAGGTCCAGCCTAGATCTTATATATACCTTGCTGGGAGGTGGGAGGAAGAAGGTAGGATGTGATACTAGTGGATAATTAGTTTCATTGTGTAACACCCTGGTCCTATCACCAATTATGATTGCAGTTTCCCTCAAGCCTCCTGTTATGTATTTAATTCTGGATATATTAATAATAAATTAACCTGGTACAGTTCAACCCATGTACTTTCTTCATAAGACATTCACTTAGTGGGCCTTGGTCGGTATTTTATTAACCATACTGCTGATGCTTTTTCTCGGAGATAGCCAACTTAAGAGACCAAACAAACAAACAAAATGGAACTGACACCAATGGTCAAGATTGATTGCCTATCTGTCAACGATGGGAGGTAGAAAATGAGCATTGGCTATTATACATGCAACAGATATGCCCAACTGAAGATAACTCAGTAGCAAAGGAGAATAGAATAGTGAAAGGACACTGAGTGTCAGGAAACTCTAGCTGTAACTGTATCCAGTGCAGGCTGATTATAATTAGCTATAGCAGTCACAAGCATGAGCGATAGCAACCAGTGCTAGAATGAAGACCATCCATTGTGCAATTTGGAAATTATTACTCCTCTCAATGAGTGATTTCAAATAGATATAGTGGACTTGTGAAAATGAGTCATTTATTCTAACTTTATGCATTATTTAGATGAAAGCTGCTATATATAGTAAATATAAAGTACTTTTTGTCCTACTAGGCTGACATAAATAGCATTATTATGCTTTGCATTGATTTTTGTAGTCTGATGAATACAAACCACATGTTTGCAAAATTTTGTGTTCCAACAGTCCTGTATTTAACTTATTGAACAGAAGTATACCTTAAGTATCTGCAACCTGACTTAATTGTCTTTCAGACTCTAAAGATGCATTTAACACTTCAACAGAGCTAGGATAAAACATATTGAACTTATTGACCAGGAAAAACTTACTTCTTTTGAATCCATAGATCTGACACAGTGAAGTCTGGTGAAGAATGAGAGAGACTGAGACATTAAAGACAGAGCATGTATATGGTGTTCTTTTTCTTTTTTCTTTTCTTTTTTTTTTTAATTAGTAGAGAACTTCAAACCCCAACGTGCTTAATTGTATGCCTTCATTATTCTTGCATTATACATATCTATAGGACTACATTCTAGATTCAGCCTTCTTAACCTTGGTGCTGTTGATATTGTGAGCTCTGTAATTCTCGTGGGAGACTTTTCTGTGTATTGTAGGCTCTTGAGTAGCATACCTATTCTCTACCCACTAGATCCCAGTAGTAGCACCTCCAACTTGTGTCAATAAAAAATATTTCTCCATATATTGTTAACTATCCCCTGGGGAAGGTGTAAAATTGCATTGAGAGCCACTGCTCAGTGCAATTTTGAGCCGTGGTTCTCAGTGCAATTTTGAGAACCACCCAGTGGGAACACTCAGTGGGAACCACTGCTCTAAGCTGAAAGGTTGTATACAGAAGAAGATTCATGCACATGCTGTTTGAGTAGGCAACCTCTCAGTACAGTTTGGGTGCTCTACAGATAAATCCCCTCCTTTTGCTTTGTCAAAAAGGATCATCATTCACGATGATCCATCATGAATGGATCATCAACTCGTAGGTATTTTAAAAGATCCCTCACAAAATACTGTGGAAGATCTTGTCAGTAAACTGAGAGATGAGAGCTATATTATGCTAATATTTTGGGGATAAGGGGAAATGAAAACTGACAGATAGTATACATGTTGAGGTTGAAGACAAATATCACTTCAATTTTTTTCACATGATCCTTTAATATAAATAATTAATAAAAGTCATGGATTCTCTCTTCTCTATCATTGCTTCTACTATTATACTTCCAGAGTTTGTATACATGTGGGTTGTAGGAGGGAGTGTTCAGTCTAGTTATTCTATGTGCTTGGAGTAGTTTCTAGTTTTTAAAGCCTCCAAAAGTAAAATGAAAACATTTTGATTTAAAAGATACAGTTGTAGACAGCTGGTAATGTGTAGCACACTGGAAAACAACCGAGCTTAATGATTTGAAGACATGGCAGAAGGTGGATATTGTCATGGATTAATGTGTTGTGCATGTCCAATTTGCAGACCATTTTCTTTATTCATAAAAGGCAATGCTAATAGGTATAAAAATCCAACATACAATGTTTTATAATGGCTTACAATTTGTAAAAATCTACACTAATGTTGGTAAATTATCATGGATTAAATGTCTTTGGTGAGTTGTTTGATCAGAATTGATTAAGCATGCTAAGTCTTTCAGTTATTCTAGCATGGTTAAACATCATCTACAAGAAAGGTTACTATTCTCTGTTACGTTATTTTCATGCATCAAAGTAAACATCTAAATTTCTAATATTTTGAAATCTAAAATTTGAAATCTATGATTTAAGATTATGACTATGCCTCAATTATTTTTCTTATTTCCATACTTCCTCATATTATCCACATTTACAATTTATTGTAAAAATGTAGACATAGAAAACATAGAATGTGACTTGAGATTTACTCTTAAACAGTAACTGTTAACAATGTTTGGTATATATTTTTAAATAATGTTTCAATGACTAGATCAATATGGATATATATATATATACACACAACTAAAATTACATATATAATTTAGAAAGATATAGTGATATAGATAGAGAGGCATACAGTCACAGAAACACATGTGCACAGATATATACTTAAATAAAATAAATATAATTTCATAATATTACATGTAACTAATTTTACAATATGTTTGTCTTCCATGTGAATAGTGGAGAGGATACATGATTTTGTGAGTCTAATGTGCCATTAGGCATAGGTCTGATGCTTAGTTCAATGTTAAAGACATTCATTTGTTTACAGATCACTCATTAGATCAGGGTACTTTTGAATTGGTGGGTGTCCCTGCCATATTTAGTATTATGTATTTTGATTAATGCATATGATTGCATAGATATATTAACATTTATTTAAGTAATTTCTTATTACAATATTTTTAAATGACAAAGAGAAGGCCAACAAAGTTAAATAATTAAGAACCTGTATCACTGCTGGTAGTGTCCTGACTTTTAAGTGTGGTACATGTTCCAGGAAGCTGTTTCTGGGAAAATGAATAGATAGAGAGGAATTGTAGGAAAAGGTGTAAGAAGAGCATTGGCCCTAGTGCACCCTGACATGTTCAGATGTTGCTTCTGTAGATACTGGAAAGTTCTGATACATAAGTTTCCTACATTTGTGGGCCACATACATTTAGAACATTTCTTGGTAGGTCTGAGAACAAAATGAACAAGGTTTGATCCCTAAAAATATTGAGCAAAATATTTGCTTTAATCAGTGTCTTCAATGCCAGGACTATGTCTTATTCAAGATTTTATTCAAAGCACATGGAATGTGATAGATGAATTGCTGATTAAATAAATTCAAGATGTACAGATGCCTCCATTGAAAGGGAATTCAACTATCATTTCTATTTCATATTATGTTTAGATGATTATAAGGATTATCAAATAGGCATTTATTGCCATTATTTTGAAGCCTTTAGGGATTAATACAGATGCGTTATATAGGACTTATATGTAAATATGCACAATTAGTTATTACTGATAATTTCATTTGATCCAGTTATTTTTATTCTGCCTGAGTTTAAAAGTATTTTAAATAAAAATATCTAGGTTAGATCCACAGTTACCAATGTGATATAAATGAGATAGGATGCCATTTTAATCCATTGAATAATACAGTTATGATCAAACATTTACTTACACTTACTCCTGCATGGTGGAAGTGAAAATCAGTCTATCATTTTTTTATTGCAGTCTATCAATTTTAAAAAGCAATTTGCAGCCCATTGTGAGAGATAGGAAAGGGTAAACTCCCTTATATAAAATTTGTGGGAATAAATTAGGAAATAATTAAAAATATCACAAAGACAAAGAAACTCCCTAATAAGTTAAAATCAATTTAATAATTTGAATCGAACAAAGATAAATGCATGGCAATTAAATATAATTTATTAAGCTTGATAGAGCTTAATAATTTATTAAACTAGAGTTTATGTATGCTATGATTTCAAAAAAATTATTTTGAGAGAAAAATGTGAGTTTCCCAGATTTTTCTGTATTGTTTACACTATATTTTTTAGTATATCATTAGTATTTTTTAGGTGCAATATGTGATATAATTTGAATAAAACATGACAGCATATATAAAAATATATTTTGGTTGTAGTTAATTTTGCTGTTATGGAGGACCCACTTTTGGAGTCATTTATTCCATTTAGCTTAGCAATACATGGGAAAGGCTTGTATGATTTAAATTGTAAAGTAAACCAGTTCCCGAAGACCAATCAGTAAAGTTTTTACTTTGGTAACTAAAATTCTACCTGTAGAAATTTGTTATATTTTTAAGACACAAAGTCCAATTACATATTGAATTATATTTTACCTGTTACATAGTAAATTAAAAGTCTATATTTATTTATTCATGGAGGTTGCAATCTATTTGGGAAGAAAGCTGGTAAGCACGGGTGTAATTAATATTTTATAGTATTTGTAGGAAATTGTTAAAGAGAAAACATGACAAAGGGATGCAGAAAAAAGGTTGTCAAGAGATAGATGATGGTTTGACATCTTATCTCTTTAGCTAGGAAGCCCTTACTAAGAAGAAATACTTTGAATAAAGACTGGGAGGAAGTGTGGATATGAACCACGTTGATACCTCAGGAATCATATTCCAGGGAGAGTGAGAAGTAAGTGCAAAAGTCCTAGGGAAGGGGCACATCTAGCCTATTTGACACATAACAAGAACAGCAGAGCTGACGGAAGTAACTGAAATGGAGTACTATGGTCTGAATTGTGTCCCCCAAAACTCATGTGTTGGAAACTTAACCTCCAATGCAACAGTATTGGAAAATGGTGTCTTTTGGAAGGTGCTGAGGTCATGAGGGTGTGAATTACAGCCCTTATTAAGAGGGTTTTGGGGAGTGGGTTCATTTTCTCTTGCCACCACATGAAGACCCAGCAAGAAAGTCCTCACCAGATGCCAGTGTCTCGATCCAGGACTTCTTAATCTCCACAGCTGAACTGTGAGAAAATAAATTTCTGTTCTTTCTAAATTATTCTGTCTGTGGTATTTTGTTATGGAAGCACCAAATGCACTAAGAAATAGCATATAGGAGGTGAAAATGTTGAGAAATAATAGAAACCAGATCATGTGTAGATCCTGTAGATATGTATAAGTACTTGGATTTTTCCTACAAGAGCATGGGTAGTATTTGATCATTCTGAGCAGAGAGTTGACATTATCTGATGTATATTTCAACAAGAAACTCTTGCCCCTGTTCCAGATAGACTGAAGAGGAACAAGAACAGAAACAGGGAGCCAGCTACAGATCTATCCCAAGAGTTCTGAGGAGAGGTGATGGTGTCTGCAGCAGATTGACAGCAGTGGAGATTGAGAGAAAAGGTTTGATTCTATATTTATCATAAAAATAAAGTTGGTGATACTGTTTAAGATATAAATCTGATGAGGGAAAGTGATGGTAAATGATAAGTTGTGATTTTTGTATCCTAAATAATAAGAGGGATGCAATTGATATTCCCTAAGAAACAAAATAATTGAGGAGAATCAAGTTGGGCAGGAAAAGGAGAGAGATGGTAGAAAAAGACCTGAGTTTTGCACATTTATAGGTTGAGATGTGGAGATAAAATGGAGCCAATGGAATATGCAACTGTGTGGAGTTATAGGGAGAGCTGTGGGCTGCAGGGATAAAATAAAAATTCATATGAAATATTAGATTGCGCTTAATGTGAAGAGACTGAATAGGAGAGAACATGTTAAAAACATAAGGGTCCAAGGACTGGAGCAATGAGCACCTATAGATTGAAAAGATGTGTAGAAACTAGTAACTAAAGAGTCGCTGTAGTAGTAGGAGGAAGCTCCAGTGAGAGATTGTCTTGAAGCCTGGGAAGATGGATTTCCAGGCAGACACAGTCTTGAAATACATTTAAATTATGAAAATGAAAACTCACAAATACATATGAACATATATTCAACATATATTTAGGGGAAAATTTCAAGTATAAAGAATTTATTTTCTTAATTATAAAAATGTTCACCTTAAAAAACTTTTTACAGTTGCTTACTTTTTCTGATGTGTGTATTTATGGAACTCATTCTATCTTCAAAGCGATTCCATTTGTTTGTGTCATCTATGATTTCTTTCAACAGTGTTACATAGTTTTCCTTGTAGAGGTCTTTTACCTCCTTGGTTAGCTCTATTCCTAAGGATTTTTGTTTGTTTGTTTGTTTGTTTTTTTGCTATTGTGAAAAGGTTGAGTTCGTGATTTGATTCCCTGTTGGTGTATAGAACTACTGATTTGTATACATTAATTTTGTATCTGGAAACTTCGTTGAATTCTTTTTTTTTTTTTTTAGTTCTAGGAACTTTCTGAAGTAGTCTTTTGGGTTTTCTAGGTAAACAATCATATCATCAGCAAACAGTGACAGTTGGACTTCTTCTGTACCAATTTTGATGCACTTAATTCCCTTCTCTTGTCTGATTGTTGTGGCTAGGGCTTCCATTGCTATGTGGAAGTGGAGTGGTGGGAAGTGGGCATCCTTGTCTTGTTCCAGATGTCAGAGGGAATGCTTTCAACTTTTCCTCATCCAGTATTATGTTAGCTGTGGGTTTGTTATAGATGGCTTTTATTACATCAATGTGAGTTCAATGTTAGAAACAAATGGAACATTCTTGATGCCCCAAAAACAAATATTGCCACAAATTACTGGGTTAATCATCTGTGTATTTTATTAGCCAATACACTTATTATCCTCTATTATATTTATTATGTTTACCTAAATTGGATGTTATAATTATTGCTTTTTCAGATCTGACTAGTTTACAACATAAAATATATCTCATTTAGTACTTATTATTTTAAAATGTTATTTCCTGTCAACCCCAATTTATCTTACAAATGATTATAATAAGAGAAAAGTAGACCAGATATGAAGTTTCCCGCAACCAAGATATCAATTAAAAGACCGTATGTTTTTACTTTGCCATTTCCTAGTGATTTATGCTCAGACTTTGAAGTGCAAGATAAATAGTTAGGAACCAAGATAAAAATCTCCAGTTTCAGCAAAATGTCTGAGGTGATTAGTAAGTTGTGAAACTGGTATTTAAGCAAATATACTATATTACTATATTGCAAGATTATTTCAGTATTGTTCATGCCAATTAAAGTATTCTTTCATACAACTATCCCAAGACACACACACACACACACACACACACACACACACACAAACACACACATTCCATCCCCACCAACTATCACCTAATGGTTTTATAATCACACTGTTTATTAATCTAAAGAGACAATAATCAGCTTGATTAGTTCCTTATCATTCAAGCTTCACTCAAAATATTTACATTCTAAGATAAATTAGGTGATGTAGCTCTGTAACTCACTCTATGAGCAAAGTTACAACAATACTTCAAACATATTAATGTGTAAGTGCTACATGTGAGTACCTTGCATGCTAGTGTGGTAGGCAGAAGAAAAGTCTCCAAGGTGTTCACATCCTAATCCCTGCAACTTGTAATTATATTACATGGCAACAGAGGGTTATGGTTGCAGATGCAATTAAGGTTGCTAATCAGAGAACCTAAAGTAGTGGAATGATCCTGTGTAAACTCAGTGGGCCCAATGTAATTCCAAGGATCTTTAAATGTGAAAGAGGGAGGAAGGGAGGAGGACAGTGATCCCATGTGAGAAGGACTCAGTCTGATTTTGCTGGTTTGGTATATGAAGGAAGAGGGCCAAGTGCTTTCTTTGGTCAGAGTCCAGAAACTGGAAAAGATAAAGGAAATGGATTCTCCCCTAGTGCCTCTAGAACAGAACATATCCACACTAACACTTCGATTTTAGCTCAGTTGAGACTTATGTCAGACTTCTTACCAACAGAGCTGCAAGATAATAACTGTTTCTTTAAACCACTAAATGTGAGGTATTTTTTTTAGCAGCAATAGGAAACTAATAAAACTAGCATATTGAGGTATATGAAGTTCTTGCATTTATATAAACAGCATATCATATGAATTCTCCAAGGAGAAACACAGAATGTTACTTAATCTATAATAATTATATGATTGACCTGGAATTCTTACGTTGCTCAAAATTAAATTGATGAGAAAGTCTTATGAAACCCAGAGGTTAGTTTCCTGAAAGATGTTAGTTTCTTTAAAAAGAAGGTACACTTTATTCCTAATGAAAGAAACCAATTTATCCTACCCAATGAATATATTCTTATCTCCAGTAATTATATTGTCTTACTGTTTATATGACTTTATTGAACTTCCAGTTCCTGTGTCCAAATGTGATTAAGATAGTATTGAATTATTTTGTACAGTCTAGGTAAATTATTCAATTATTCATCTACGCAAATAACAAACAAAGTAAAATGTACAATATGTTGCAAAATAAACATATTACCCTCTCTGCTTTTTACTTTAGCAGTGCAGGAAATAGTTACTCAACTTTTGTACAATGTCATTTTTAAAAAAGTAGAATAAATCATAATAAAATATTCTATAGCTCAATTTAAAAAATGTAACCTGGTATAATAAACAAAGATTGGCTTCAAATGAGAATATAGAAATCTGTTTGTGTTTACTGAGCAAACTAATTTTTAACTAAGTGACTAGGATGTTGCTTAACCTTCTCTAAACTGAAAAATAGGGAAAAATTTATCCTCTCAGCTTGAGTAGCTCTATCTCATGTTTAAATCATAACACCTATGAAAATGTTCATAGAAAAATGTCAAAAGTTTCAATGGTATAAAAAAAATAAAAGAATGGATTAAGGCAAATAATCTAATTAAATTTGGCTAATATCAATTTTATTTCTTTCTTTAATATGTCCCATGGATATTGTTTGCTTACACCTGGTTATAAAATCCCTCTTTAGTATGTGATTCTAAAATCAGTCACACGACTTGCCCACCTGCCCATGAAACAATCCTAGACACGATGGAGTATGCAAATAGAGTGACATATACCAGACTTCTTTAATCTGGCTTATTAGTGATCTTGGAAACACTGACACAATTTGTTCATCTGAGTGTCCGTATTCTTTATCAGAGTGTCTCATTCAAATAATTGAATTCTAGGTAGTAAAGAATGTGCAAATGAGCCAAGGCATTGGGGAATAACTTCAGCTAAGTGCAAAGCCTGTGAAAGCACCAGTTTGCTGAGATTACGTCAGCATCTGATATGCTTCCAAAGAGCCTGGCTGGGTACTCAGAAGCAGAACCAACTCCCAATCACGTGTTCATTTCTGACACGCAGGAAACGCCATTGTATTTTTCCCTTACATGTTTTACTTTCTGAATCATTGTTTTTGTACTTTTAATTTCTTAAGTGACAGGTGTTTACTGTAGCAAATCAAATTATACTTTATTTCCCTTTCTTCAATCCCCACTGAGCTGAAATGTCTACAAATTAGATATCCACAAATGAATACTTTGTTTATCCATTTACACATTTTTCCATACACCTGAAAAACATATATATCTAAACATGCATACATTAATTTTATTCAGCTTTTTAAAAATCAAATATTATCTAACCCATACTACTCTACTTAATTCTTACTTAATATTCAATCATTAAAATCTCTACAAAACAATATATCAGTTTGATTCTTTCATGTCTTTATTTTTGCCTCCTAACTCATTTTCACCTGTTTCTTTCTTTGTATCCTGTCATGCTACCATGTTAGTCTTATCCTTTGAAATTTGTAGGTATTCTTTCATTTCCTATTTTCAACTCTATATCATTATATTTCTAACAATCTTGTTTCTTTCCTCTACCACTCTGGATTCTATCAGTCTTTCTAATTCTTCCAATCCCCTCCAGTCCTCATTAATCCTCTATTTTCAAAGACTGTCTGCCTTCCTTACACTACTAAAGAATATGCCTAAATAATAGAGCCATCTATTCTCTGAAACCCCTCAGTAAGTCCAAATTTCTTCCCTGAAATATTGCAGTTGACGATGTTTAATTAGTGATTTTTTCAAGACTGATGAAAGATCATAACTATTAGTTGACTACTATGTCCGCTCTGTACTGAAACAACGTGGTGTGTGTGTGTGTGTGTGTGTGTGTGTGTGTAGCAAATGTATTTTTCCCCTCTATTCTTTTTCTGTAATTATGTAGATTGCCAGAATCTGTGAGCTTTTTGCATTGTCTATGATACCTAAAGACCTTTTTTTCTAGATCTTTTTAATCTGTTATGTAAAGTACAGTTTAAAATAGTTTTTGTCATAGTTTTAAGCAGAATTTATGGACATTTAATTAAGAATGCTTTGAGATATTTAACACTCACTCAGGTAATAAAAGGGACAAGAAGTATGAAACACAGAAATCAATAGAATGTGAGTTTCACTGGGTTGAAATT